AGCATCATTGGCAGGTAGTCACAGTCCCCCCCTTTTTTTTGAGACAGGGTCTCACTGTGTAGTTGAGACCGACCTGGAACTCACTATGTAGTCCAGGCTGGTTTTGAACTGACAATGATCCTCCTGCCTCAGCCTCCCAAGTGGTGGAATTATAGGCGTGTACCACCATGCCCGGCTTACAGTCCCCTTTTGCTGAATCTTCCCCACCGTGACCCTATAAAAGACCCCATAGCCTGTATGAGAGTTATTGGTCTAGAGTGTGCCGGAGTCATTCCTCTCAGGTTTTGAAACTCGTCCTGTTGAGCTCCTACTTGCTGTGTGTGTGTGTGTGTGTGTCCCGCCAACAATGCACTCGGTGGTGAGCACTTGCCTAGCATACTCTGGACTTGTCCTCAGTACTTAAAAAAAAAAAAAAAAGTCGCCATGTAGAGCTCTGAGCAATTCTGCCCCTTCACTTAATAGCACACCTGATCTGCCTTCTCCTCTGTTTCTTCAGTACTGGGGATTGAACCCAGGGTTTTTATGCTGAGCTACATCTCACCCACGGTCCTCTCCCCATTTAGATTTTTTTAAGATAGGGTTTCACTTAATTGTCAAACCTCCCACAGTGCTGAGATAGATTACAGGCATGCACCACTATGCCCCACCCACCTCCCCTTTTGCTGCCTGATTTGCCTGCTGAAGCACTGTGAACGTAGTTTATTTGTGCATTTGTTGTAAGACTTGAATAGGCTAAAGTGACTCCATGCTAATCAGCCAGACTGTGCTTCTTCATATGCTAATTGATACCTTGGTTAACAGCCCACCCAGGGGCAAATGGTTTGACAAAAGGTGACCCTAGAACATTTCCTGCATAAGATAAGCAATGTGTTTGCAGTCTTGTTCTGTGAATTCCCCGACTCTTTGTTTAGAAAAACCTTATAAAAAGTACCTCAGCCCCTGAGCAGTTGCCTCTCTGAGCCACCTGGCTCCGGGAGTGCCGTCTGGCCAGACTAATAAAGGTCTCTTTACCATCTAGCCTGGTGTGTTCCTGGGTTTCTTGTTTCTCCGTCAAGCTCCCGGAGCCTCGCTGGGTGTTAGGGCCCAGCATCGTGGAGGCCTTTTTGGCTGTTCACGCTCCATGGAGTGGAAGTGAGACTTTAGGTCTTACATTGTTAGTGGGCACTTTATCCCCTCAATGTGCTGCCCAGGAAGGGGTGCTTGCTTGATATTTGCGGAATGAATGTACCCTAACATCTGTCTGTTGAAATGTCTGCAAGCCTTTCCGGATCACCCCCTCCCAAGGCGAAGCCCAGCCACCGTCCTTCGCAGCCAATGGAACTTTCTTCCACAGTGGGGTGGTTTACATCGCACCGTTCAGAGGGCAGCCATGAGTCCCAGGGGCTACCGAGCCCTGGACCCCTGGCTCGTGCAACTAAGGATCCATTCCTGACATTGCATTTCGGCTTGTTTACACGCGGGACGCAGGCAGTACTTCTCCCCCAACGGCCTTCGCCCACGTCTGTCTGGTTCATCCTTTCCAGACTCCGATTCCGACTTTTTTTTTTTTTTCCGTCTGTAAGGAAGGCTGTGGCACCACTGAGCTAACCCTTTGGCCGGACTCGACTCTAGAGCCAGGCCTTGCCCGCCATGGGCCAAGCGAACTTGCAGACCCCTGCTAGGGCCCTCAGGGAGCAAAAACAGCTGGGAAGCCCGCCCCGGGGAAGCGCTGGGGCAGGGGAGGAGGCGGAGGAGGGAGCCGGGCAGCCAGGGCCTCGCCGGGGGCGTCCAGCTGTTTTGCTGGATGTTTTGCTTTGTTTTTCCTGATACTTATTTGGAGGAGTCCTTTGTGCAAAGAACACTGCTGTAGAACACCTAAGGGAAGAGTATGTATTGTATAATAAGATAAAATAGGAGCCAAACACTCTTTTTGAAAAGCTGATGCAAAGAATAATAATATGAGATTAATAGAAGTCCAAGAAAAAGCAGGAGAAAGCAAAAATAACAATAAAAAAAACCTGTTCTCAGAAGTAATAGCAGAAAACTTCCCAAACAGAGCAAAAGAACTTGACATAAAGTTAAGTGAGGCATATAGGACGCCCAACTAGTTATGATAAAAAAAACACAAAACCCTACACCTAGACATGTAATAATCAAGATCACGGAAACCCAACAGAAGTACAAAACACTACAAGCAAGCAGTTATGGAAAATAAACAAATTACATGTAAAGGAAAGCCCATTAGAATCACAACAGACTTTTCAACACAAACCCTCAAGTCAAGGAGAGCCTGGAGTGAGGTATCTCAAGATTTAAAAGAAAACAACCTCCAAAGTATCCTACAAAACTAGCTTTCAAAATTGATGGAGAAATAAGATACCTTCATGACAAACAACACCTGAGAAACTTCAAGACTAATACCAAACCTGTTAGGGAATCGATCATGTTAAAGTATGCTGTGACGCCGCCTCACAGGCTGCATTCTCCTGGTACCTCTTGGCTCCTAAAATGACCTGGTGCCCTTATCTCTGGTTTCCCTCCCCCTCAAGGCCACAGTGGTCCAGGAAAGTTGAAACCTGTGTCTGCAAGACTGGGCCCCTAAAAGCAATCTGGCCTGTGATAGGTTAAAAGTAACTCACTCCCCACCCCAAAACTGATAAAAGGACCTTCCTTTCTTTGTTCTTTCTCTCTCTCTCCTGCTTCTTCTTCCTCCTCCCTCTCCCTCCCTCCCTCCCTC